GATGGTCCACGGTAGCTTCTGTGGCAAAGGAGTTGGTCCCCTTCATCAGATTGAGGGTAAGATGGATGCGAAGATGTACCTTAATATCATGGAGGCTGTTATCTGGCCGTTTGTTCCCAGTACTGCTCGCAGTGGCTTCATTTTCCAGCAGGACAACGACCCGAAACACAAATCGAAGCTGCTCACCAAATGGTTCCGCAACAACAACGTCCCTCTGCTGACGTGGCCGCCGCAGTCTCCCGATCTGAATCCTATCGAACATCTATGGGAAAGACTTAAGCATCAAGTAAAAGGCCTCAGAGCTCGAAATGAGCACGAAAAGTTCCTTCAGCTGAAGACAGCATGGGAGAACATCCCACAGGAAGAGGTAGACAAACTCATCGAGTCCATGCCACGCCGATGTCAAGCGGTCATTGACGCCAGAGGTTATGCGATAAAGTATTAATGTCGTAGTTGTAATACTGATATTATACAAGGTTGTTCCGTTGAAAAATTGGAAATCCAGACAGATTAAAGATTTTACAGGTATGATGGTGTTTGGACAAAAATTGATGTGAATTCTTTTGAAATATTTCATAATTCACTTAGACAGCTGAGAAATTGCTCGCTCATCAGATTCGTTGATAGGCATTAACTGTGAAAAAATCAGGCAAAAAGATGGACATTTGAGGAAGTTATGTTTGAAAAAGTGAAAACGAATACTTCACTGACCGGTACTTAAATACATATATTCATACATGTATACATATACACATATATACATGTATACATACACCCATATATACATATACACATACATACATACATACAAATATACAAGTTCTACTGCATATAACTCGACTATGAAAGCAGCCTATGGTGTGTATTTGTGTGGCGTAGGTCATCTGTCTCGGGCCAGCTGCTCACTAACCAAGTCGTTCACAGCGCAACCTACATATACTAGCGAAAAAATTGCGAGGGGGTCACAGTCCAACGAGCGGAAAAGAGACAAAGTGTTCACGGTGGGCGAGATGTACTCAAAAAAACGAAAATGGTGCGGAAGACATATGTATAAATTGTTCTACCACAATCGAAAATTCAGGGAAACGTAAGTATCCGGCTGACGGCTAAGTGGTATTTCTTTTATTGCAATAAAAAGGTGATTATGTTTCCTTGGAGTATACGCAATTTCTCGACTGCCAACCTTACTGTAAGCAAAAATTTCTTTGGGACACTAAGCAAGCAAACGGCACGATTGCTCACAGTCTGAAGAATGTGGTGGTATTAGCAGAATTTCAGGGATGAATATGTTTAAGGTCAGCACAGCTTACGTATGATTTAAGCCAATCTATCAGGGATTGCCCGGAATTCGCTAAAGATTGGTAAAGAGTGAGCCTAGCTCTGATATGATACGAGTTGAAACAATAAACATGGAGTAATCGGAGCTAAGAAGTACCATATCTGGGCTGATCTTCTTAATTGTTACATACACTACTAAAACGTAACATATGGCGTAAATTTTACCTGATCACGAGGATATCCCATCGCACTAATAGCTTCGATAGATGACTCTTGATCGGCGGTGAAGGCTAAATACGATAATATGGTATCAAATAGTGATGATCGTTGCATGGAAGCACCTACAGAATGTGTAGAAAATGTTCAAAATTTCAACTGCATCTTAACAAGGGGACAATAATAATCAGAAACTTTCACCAGAATTATGACGACGAAAAGAAAACGAACACTTAACTTTCATTTGCATGCTGAGGACTTGTTGATAATAATATTAGATTGCCTCAAGGCTGTTGCTAAAATATATTTTATTTAAACCTACTCCAGTAAAACGCAATATCGATGTATGTCATGGACAGGAAGTGGATGCGTTTGTGGAAGTCCTGGTTTAGTGCAAAAAAAAAGAGAAAGGTCATTTATGAGGAATACCGGGGAATCGTAGCTCTTGCCCGCAAGATGGCAGCCGAGGGAAAGAATAGGTGGTAGTCGGAAGAGGTTCTAAATCGGGCTTGTATGGAGAGTTGCAGTAGAATTTTCCAGCCAGGCCTCAATATCTCGAGCTTATTATTGAATGTCGAAACATGTTCTTGCATTATAGTGAACTGTTATACATGGTCGAGTTCCAAAAACTTTAGTCAGTTACGAACTTTAGCAGAGTTTTTCCGAGAGAGCGAAGAACTCGGCCCATCGAATCTTAGGAGCAGCCGAATGTGACTCGCAGAATACGAGTGGCTTCGTATGAATTCGCGTGGTTCCCATTCAACACGCCTGAACTTCTGACACAACCTAATAGTTTGAAGAGAGCTAAAATTAAAGAGACCAGAAGTTAAAAAAACCTAAATATCTCGGATCGCAGATATCATAAAGCTACTAATAATTTCCTCATACCCGAGATAATGAAGCACTTCCCTCTTACTCAAGCCATGGTTCTTTGAAAACCATTCGTTGACGAAATCACTTGTCGTATTGAAAACAAGTTGTCATTAAAAACAATAACAAAAGAACATCTGATGTACTGTAAGAATCTTGCATTAGCGGCCACGATAGGTACATTGTCAAAATACATGTCAGTGTACGTTTTCTCGAACTCCTCAACTGCGAACAAGTGACCAGCACGATTGGTACAAATGGAGACTTTTTCGAATCTGAACGTTTTCCACAACATACATATAGGGGGAAGGGGTCCACGCGAAAACTGCAATTGTTGAAAAGTGGACTGCAGCAGGAGTAATGTTTTAAATGCACAGTCCACGATTAGAATGCTTTTATAGATTTTCCACTGGGACAAGAAGCACATTAACCATTGTAGGGTCGGAAAGCGGTCGTGTTCTAATGGCTTTGCACAGATTATACCATTCACAATGGAGCTTATATACTGTGGATTCAAACAGCCCACTGAACCCCGACCCAAGGCGATAAAAAAAACATTTTTTGACATTTTCGCATAGTAGCCACCTATTCAAGATGTTTCACATGATTGAAATCGCCTCCAAAAGACCCATACATGCCCCATACCATATAGACTTCATATCTATTCCGTCGCCATCATTTCGGACAACAATACGATGTATACACATATGTATGTGTTTTTGAACGCTGATATCAAATCCACATTCCAAATCTACGAAACGCTTCTGGAAAAGAAGTTACAGGAGCATTTCTTCCATGTGAAATGGGGTTTTCCAAGCACGTGCTGAAGTTCAGTGTAAGCTTCATGTGTGAGCTAGACGTGAAATGATGGCGCAGCAGGTAAGGTAATGGACTCACAGGCGTCGTGTGAGAACTTGCCACCGTGTGTGCAATTTCAGGAAATGTATGCTCAAGGCTGCAATACGGTTTTGCGCCTCCCAATGACTGATTGCAACCCTCTCTACCCATAAGGGACATAGGAAATATGATAACTGCTGAGTAAAGCTTAACCCTGACTTTTACGACTTGAGGAAGAACGCCTTCATGCCATACACCAAAAAGTATTAGGAAACTTCGGACTGCTTCTTGCGCTATGTAAAAAGGATTTAACGGCTCATCATACGGGGCACACCTTTTTGGATGAGAATGAGCACTTCCAGAAAGCATACAACTCTTACACTAATGGAACGATAACGTGATTCGTAAGGCAATAAGATGTCAAATCAAAGGACACTTCATGACCACACAAGGCATCAAAATTCAAAGCGTAATTTGAGTACTGATTTTCCTCAAAGGAGAAAACGCTTTAGTAAGGCCAAGAAAACGCTTTAGTAAGGCCAATCGCCCTTATCATTTTTCGTGGAGATGAAATGAAGAGCAGCTATCAAGATGTTGGGATCAGCCAAACTGAGACTTCACAATGCCTCGCGATTTCTTCTAAAAATCAACAAACGATATTCGGCAATTATGAAGCGCAATTGGCTCTTCATAAATGGAAAAGTACAAATTATCTCGGCCACGCTCTAAAGAAATAGAACTTCGACGCAAATTATTAAAAAGTTCATTTTTAAGGAATTTCTAGTATTTTGGAGATAGTAACAATAGTAAAAATAGGGAGAATAAAATTTCGCAAGAGAACCAAGCAGGTCAAGCTTAAGCCCATTTCGATCAAGTATTATTGAACATTAGCAGATATAACAACTGTACTACATTGGAAGCTACTGAAGTCCGAACGGGCAATACAGCACCTCTTAGGAGGGACGGTTTTCGATGTTCTTTGAGACTACGGTGCGCTACAGCCACTCAATGGGAGATGTCAAACTGATTAGTAAGCTTTTAGTATACATTTCATAAAAGCGCAAAACAAGTTCACGCACTCGAGATGCTCGCGCTCATGATGCCCGCGAGCACATCGCCTTACCCTTTCCGCACTCGCTTGGCATCTGGCTTGGGGACTAGACCTCGATACATGCTCAACAAAACCCTTTGTCACATGGAAGAAGTGATCTCGTAACTTTGTCCCCAGAATCGCTTCGCAGTTTTGTAATGTAGATTTGACATCAGCGTCCAAAAGCACATATATGGGTACACACCACATTTTGTACGGCCACTGTGATCCACTATCCCTTCCTTGTTAGACGAGCTAAAAAAATCCTTAGTGTAGGATATCCTAGGTGTTCTAGAGCTACATTCGCCATTGTTGCACTACTAAGCACCAGCATTTCCGTTACTTAACGTAAAAAAGGTATCATTTCATCGGACGTCAGTTGGTTCCAAATCCTTCAGAGGGTCAGTTCAATAACAGCCATTACGTACATTTTTTTAGAGATCAGAAGATTTGAGAAGACAATGAGAACTGCGCAGTGTCTCATTTAAACAAAGAAGGGACAACAAACAACGAATACGACCTAGAATAGTAATTCCTACCTGGCTGCGCTTGCACAGGCTGAGGTGTAGTCTCCGCAGCTGGGCTTGGTGCGGGAGCTGATGAGGCAGCTTCTGTTGTCTTACTGCGAGGTTGAGGATCCGCTTGCACTGTGGGTTCAGGAGCTGCAGTAACAGGAGCGGACGTACTAGACTGCACTCCTGCAGGGGCTGATGTAGTAGTTGGATTGGGAGCAGGTTCAGGAGCTTTCCTCTAAATATCAAGGATGTACCCCTTCCTTAACTTTTTCAATCTATCCAGTAAAGGATGGTGGAAATAAGAATTTTGATCGTTTTCATCTTTTATAACTCCATTTCCAAAATAAGAGTTTCCTCGAATTTGATTCCAAGCACGGGTAACACTAGAAATACCCGAAGGTTCCGAAAGTTATCTGCCTGGATGACCACAAACACCGCAGCGTTTCGATTCTCAGCGATAAGGCGCCACCGCTATGACAAAGTAAGCTTACCTTCCACGCAAAACAAATACGAACAAAGAGTTCAATCAACCTTCTATATTGTCAAAACATTTTACACCACAGAGTTAGCCTAGAGCTACGGCCAATTCGATAATTTTGACACAAGTGCCTATGGTGTACGCACCAGAGGATTCCGACTCTCACAAAAGCAATGTTCTTATTCAGTAAACTGGCTCAAAATACTAATTCTTAGCACAGTCACTCCTTCCGCGTCAAACTTTGAACTCGAATGCAGCAACTTCCTCAATTAGCACATACGTCACCAAAGGTCAACAATACAAAACATATGGTAATGTCAAGATGAAATTTGCTATGCGCTTCAAAATGAAATACCATATGCAGGCACCACTCACTTTTCTTCCAATCCCCATGCAACCTTCTGTATTACTGAGAAACTTACCCTAGATAACATTACCACCACGAACTTATTAGGGTCAATATCAACTTGCTCTATCGTTGTAGCATCGTCAAGAATCTGAAAAAAAATCTATAAAATCATTACCAAGACGAAGGTATGTGAAAGGCCACCAACCTTCCCATTATAGATCAACTTTTGAAGCTCTACCGCATAATCTTCACCTTTCTCGTCCGCAATTTTCTTCTTGACTTCGGACATCTGAAGTAAGTTCAGCATATGGCCAAAACATGTTGACCACCAGCAGTACCTCTTTCGCATTAAGTACCATGGATTCCCGAATAAGTAAAGAAAAAAAGTGTCATGGCAAATTTCTTTCACGATTATGAAATTGTGTTGAACTCCACTACAATGTAAATGCTCACTAAAATTAACGAGTCAGGCCAAAGAACATCGTACATTCAAGTCCCACTCATAACAGCAGGAAAAGATTGCAGAGCAATCTTTGCAATATACTTTCCAATATATGTCCTAACGACGTTGAGAATCACGGCCACAAGAGTTTAACAGACCACCTACGTACTGCTTCATATATTGGACCCATTGAACTACAAGCAAGAATAGTTTTTTTTACTTCTATATATCTCATTAATCAGTAGATTCGCGTTCAAGTTCCTGGATGAGGAAAGGGACTTGAGAACGAGAAATGCGCTAAGCACAAGGGCAGTTTAAACAACAATCAGACGGGGGTGCAATTTGGACTTTTAAAAGGCTTTGCGTTAAGCCCAAATATGGTTAAATAGTGAATAAATGAATAACAAATGGTAGTGATGAAATAACGGAAGGAAGACACAAACCGTCAAAGTTGGTTCGAGATCCATGGTGAAGGATAACTGCGTTATCGTTCGGAAAGTAATTACCGGCATTATGCTACAAAGAACAGCTGTAGTCACATTAAAACAACACTCATGGTTGTGTACTAAATAACGAAAATGCACTTGGCAGCTGCGTAAAACTGATGTAATTACACCGAAAGTGGAGAGGATCAAAGTGAACCACGAGGTTTCACTGAAAGTGGTACACAAAAAGGGCATATCCATGAGACGGTTGGTTAGGGCGACAGCAAAAAAAACGCTATTCCTCTTCCTTGAGACAACAAAAAACAAAAACAGTAATAACCCCATGTAATACACACCGTCACCCAATTAAAGCAGGAAGCAGTTCAAGAGTCTCAATGCAATTGCGAGAGTAATAATTCTACTAATCATTGAGAAACATCAAACAAAAAATCAATGCAAAACGGATACTTCTTGATATGTTTTCAATCGTCCTACTCCAATTCCCACAAGTAGAAATTAGCTCTAATTTATAAGCCAGTTTGGCAATGATTGCACAATTAAAATGATACCTTTCAAAACTTGGTAGTTGAAAACATCACTACCCAAGCTGCAAAATATCGTTAAGTCTGTCATGAGATAAAACACATATGCTGATTAACACATCATGAGGGAACTTATGGTACAGACCCCGCACTGCTCATGATTCTACTTAGAAATCAAAATTTCTCCGAACTAGAATCCAAAGTGAATCTCCATTCCACAACAAGACCTCCTTAAAGGCAGCACTCTAGCAGTAAAAGTCTAAAGACTGTGCGACATGCAAAATGAGCGCGGATTCATTTTATTCCTGACCGTTTCACAGAGAAATATGATTTCAAAACGCCAAATCACACAGAAAATAAACCAATTAGAGGCACATCGCGAATATTTTCAATTTTAAAGGTAACGTCATCACTGCTTAGGGTCCCACAAAGATTTACTTGATCAAAACATGATGTGACGGTAGACTTAGTATTTGAAACCTCGTTTTGGCGCGAACATTCATTTGGGGTGCCTCGGGTTGGCGCATGAAGAATGATTTGTGGACACGTTGTTTGATGCCATACATTTGTAACCTGGTTCTGTGCTTCCCAAGTGAATAATAGCACATCGCTCTGAATAGTTTTAAAAGCTCTGGCTCAAAGTAGCGTTCGACGTCAACGGCAGAGGTTCCGACTCACATAGTGCGTTTCTGAGTTGGTTTTTGCTATAAGCAAGGTAAATTTCAAGCCATGTAGCCCATTCTCTAAACTTGTGGTCATCACTATCTTCACATAACTCCATTTATTCTTTCAGATGTCCATGGATACAACTCCTGTGTGTAGGAGTAAAGCTAACGGTTCTGAGAGGCCAACCTTAAGACACAGTAGCCCCAAAGATACCGGCGCAACGTATCCAGTGAAATATCGAGCAACTACGCTAGTGAGTATTGCACTCCGGTTTTCTTCCTTCTCTCGGTGCATTTTCATGACTCTTCCTTTATTGTTCATTTTTTGATTTAGTGGTACAATATCATCTGTCACTTTCGAGATGAGATGCCTGTCAAACGGCATCGCCGACAGCTTACCTCTTTCGAAAACTCATTCACTGGAAAAGAGGCAGTTGATTTTCTGCTGATTCTGTTGCCCAGACTAATTTTTGAAGGTCGTCAAGTGGACAGGTAATTACAATCAGACGATAAACATTTTCAGTAATACGAGAAAAATCGGTTGTGTGCATGTTCTCTGAGAGCTGGTGAGGTCTTGCTAGGAATTTCAGACTTCGTTTTTCATCACATATTTGCATTCTTTTTCTGAAAGCAACGTGTTTAACGATATGCTCATCATTCTCTCTTCATATTTACAGTTCACTAAAAATCCAAGATTCCCGGCAAAATGTCATGACCCTTCAAAATCCGTGACTGCCATCTCAACCTGATACCATCTTGTAACACCTGCATCACCTGTCCTCCCGTTGATCATCAAATCCCTCGAGCGGGCGCCAGTAACGTCACCAATCGTCCCTGTTACGAGTCAGAGCGGTCCAATGGGTCTTCCTCCCTTGAGGGACACAAGGCATAGCAATCCTTTTGTTCAAAACTTTCGTGAAGATATCTGACCATCGCGCTGACGGAAATCCTCATATTTGTTAGACTTCCCGAGAGATACAGTCACTAACCACACTGGTCCAACGAGCAAGACGATATCGCATAATTTGTTCAGCCCATCTGCTCTCCGATCTCTTGGCGTAACCGAAGGCATGCCCTGATCTTCGTTCGTGGACGAAGCTCCGAACTCCGGCTTCCATTCTGCATTTTCATGTATGGGGGAATTACGAGCGTCGTCCTTTCCGAGGCGTACGTCAAGACAGAGAGGACAGCAGTGTCGGAAAGGTGAGCGCAGAACCGGTTTTCTTCGTCTCTTCACTACTCCCTCGATATTCTTGAATGCTTCCCACGCAGCGCGTTCTCTTCTGCTCAGCTCCGGGGAGCCAAGTCGTTCATCATATTGACTTCTTGTCCACGAGATACACGTGGCTAGAGCACTCGCAGATATTCGTCCCATTTGCAGTTCAAAGGACATCAGCTACCAATCCGTTTCTCATGAACATCTCTTCGTTATGGAAAATATTAAGCCGAACTTCCCACAAACGCTGTCAAATTCGGCCACGATTCGTTCCACCTGCTCGATGTTAGGTGTTATAAGCACTGTGTCATTTGCGAGGCGCAGGTGGTGTAAGTAACGACCGTCGACCTTCACACCCAAGACTTTCCATTCTGGATGACGCATGATGTCCTCGAGAGCGACACTGGAAAGTTTGGGCGAAATGGCATCACCCTGCCGCTGAAGTGGTCCCCGTGGATAAATGTCTTGAGCTTCGTTTCCCTAAACTTCACAGCTCTCTCCACGCACTGAAAAACAGATCTAGCCCGAAGGATACGAGAGCCCGATCCCTTGTAGAACTTTAGAATGACAGCGACGTCAGTCAAGCAAAACTTTAGATTTAAGATGGTTATGATCTACTTCATTGTGGAACTGCTCACCACGTGACTCCTATGTCCGTCGCACTTCTCGGGCGTTTTTCATCCCACTAGCTGGGACAGTCTATCACCCTTCTCATTCCATTCCGTTCCATGAGTCCCAACATGTGGCTCTTCGGCCGTTCTTCTGCAGCCAATGGTTAGCTTTCGAAATAAATGCATCTCCCAGTATCTTAACCCTGTGACGACAGCGCGCCTTTTTGCGTGTCTGGCGCGCGGGACAGACGCGTTTCGAAGCTTTCCGTTTCCGCGGCTCACCGTTGAGCCGCGCTGTCCCACGGTTGATAGTCAAAAATATGTATTGTGGGATGTTCCCTTTGCGTTTCTCACGTGGCTACGCTAGTTTCCTTCAATTGCAACTTTATCAACAATTAACACATTAATACGAACAATACACAATGAAATTAAATGCGAACACAATAAACAGTTAAAAATTGGTGGTGGCGCGATTGTGGGGGGAGAGAAGTTCGTGGCACTGACGGGTGGAGGCGTCTTGACGGTGGCGTCCAATTCGAGGTGGCGAAGAGCGCGGTTGTGCTTCCCGCGCCCCTTTTATGCGGCGTTTTCCCGCGCTGCCGAGATCTTGCGGTGGTCATATTTTGACCCACCTTTGTGACGTGCCGGGATGTAAAAAAAAAACATTGTGGTTCCACTCCACAATACCATAACAGCTTACGATTCTTCCATCTTGAGGGTGGTGGCTCTGATCTTATCCCGCAATCTGTTCTGCGCCCTTTTCCGGTGTTTTCGATTGACACCATGAAGCTCACCAGAGCTTCCCTTCGGGAGGGCCGGCTCTCCTGGCTCTCTTCGTTTGTGCGCTCGAAAAGGGGCTAACCGAAGCTCTTCCAATGTCAACATGGGCTCCAGTTGTGATCGTAGAAACCGATAAAAGGTGCGGGTACTTTCCTCGGACATCCACTCCTCAGCGTTTTTGAGTATTCCCACAGCAGCCCAAGCTGCCCGTGCATCCATAAGTCCTATGTTCTGCTGCAGAACATCCACAATAAGCTGTGCCCGTTCCGGCTGTCCTGACACATAGCTTAGAACATGACTTCTCATCTTGATGGTGACGTGCTCCCAACTGACTACGTTCGAAGTTCTGGGTCCATTCACCAGGTACACCTTTGTGCCGCAGGCAGTCCAGAGATCTATAGCAGACATTACCGCGAGCCATGCGGTTACTTTGCGCGGCTCTTCCGGCGGCAGGATTAGAACAACGGCTCCAAGATCGTCGGTAAAAAGACTGTCCAGCTTCGTTTTAATTGCTGGAAATTCACCATAAAAGAACACTCGTGTGCGAGTGCCGCCA